GAAAAGACAATTTAAGTTGCTTCCAGATTGTATTAATTTACTCTAAGTTTTCCAGGGAACCCCAGGACCAGCTCTTCCCTGCACATGCTGCAGTATGACCCCCTTCACCCAGCTCCTTTCCTTGCTGCCTCTTCTTCCTTTGTTTTCGGTGGCAACCTATCTGAGCTTTTTTCAGAAGGAAGTTTCTCGTATAGTTGAGTAGCATCCTCTGAGGCACACTACCTAGCTCCAATGGAAGTTCCATCCGGGCTCTCAACTGAGTGCAGGAATTGGGAAAACTGAGAAAGCCTCTAGGCTCCACGTGGAGAAATATTTTGAATATTGAGCAAATGAACCGTGAGCAATTTTATCAAGCACTGAGGTCTCAATGCACCTATGTAATGACTGAATCTGACCTGAAGACTACATTTCTGCCAACAATCCCATTTTCCATCAGGAAACAATCTGATGCTCCAGCTGCATGTTGGCCCACAAACTACTGTGTATTGCCCTGCATCTAGTCATGTTTTAGTCGAGGCACTGCAAATAACAAGGCTTGAATTTATAAAGTTTCCATCCAAGAGTAACTTGATTAATTTTTTTTAAAGCTGTGTGTTCAAGTAATACAAGCACAGAGGGGGAAAGGGCCAGTTTGACGTACATTCGTTCTACTCTTTTGAACTTCACTTTTTCCTTTTCTTTTTATTCTGGCATGGCCACTCAAAGTTTGCCCAGCAGAGGGTCTTAGAGGCAGCATACAGTACTTCATCTTGAGCTAAATAGCTTATCTATAGTTTGTTTTAAAGTGATGGGAGGCTGCAGGCTTCATTTAGCCTCTCCTGAACTAGACCTCAACACAACAGAGTACAAGGTTATGCAATTTTTTAATAAAAGTAAGCAATGTTGCAAGGTATACCCAAGTATTAGCATAGTAATTTGTTTATGAAAGGTCATGAAATGTTGCAATAATTCCCAAACTATACAAGAGTTAGTGTGGTAGGAAGTTTCACTGAAAGAAAAAATAAAGGCCAGGGTGAAGCGGGAAGGAGGGGAACCACTTGTTAGTGTCTTCACAGCAAAACCATAAGAGAATCAGAAAAAGAAAATTAGTACATCTAAGGAGGACAATAATGTAGAACTGGCTACAACTGAATCACAGTGTGCAGAGTACCAGCCTACAGTACAATTTGAAAAAAGAAGTGGGAGTTGGATTAGAGAAAAAAAAAGCACAAAAGGAAGAAGCAAGCAAGGAAGAACACAGGTTCAAGGAGAGACGATAGAGAGAGGCTCAGGGCACTCTTTCAATGTTTAGAACCACACTCCAAACAATGTTTATCAGCAATTACCTGTTTACCTATAGAAAGCCTACACTTTAGTGAATGCCCTTTTTAAGAAGATGCATGAATGATAATGCTTGAGAAATGCTCTTCTCATAGATGTATTGCCTCCATTAATAGGATATATATATATATATAAGACCATGTTTTGAAGGATAGAAATGAGTTATGGGTCACGTATTGCATATTACCTCAATTTGATGGTCTGTGATTTCTCATGAAAACATAGAAACATGAAACACTGACAAGTGAATTCACTTCTAAGCTTCTTTCAATAGCTCTTTCACAGTCACTTCATGAGATTGCACACACAAAAAAAACTTCCTCTACCCCAGCAAAGAGTTTTGAATAAGGCGAAATTCTTCTTTTTACTAAGCAATATACAATTAATTATTACTTTATTGCAATGCAAACCAGATAGGATGTGTGTGAGTGTAAGAGGGATCAAGAGATACCTATTTAGTGGTGTCTTACAGAAAGACTGTGTATTCTTATTCTTCAGAACCATTTCAGGAGATCTCATTCATGATCAGCCACCAATGTGAAACATGAAAGAATAAATAATGTTGTTGCCCCAGATGTGCTCGCTCTAGTGAGATAGGACATTCATACAAGGTACATCAGAGGATCAGAGCACAACATCCTTTGCAACACATACAGATCCTTTTGCCTCTTCGAAGATCAGATGTTGGATTTTCTGAATCCTTCACTGGGAGATTAAAACAGACAATGCACCTCAAAAATGATGAATGAAAAGAAAAAAAACCACTCATCTGCAAGGATCAGGGCCAGGTAAAGGAAAATGCACAAAAGCTATTTAAAAAAAATATATAAGCGCCAAAAAAGGCAACAAGATTGGATTTACACAGTATGATGCAAATGAGACATAATCATCACAGTCCAGGTTCCATCTTCAAGTTTCCCGCTCACTAAAAACAAACATGTTTTCTACTCTGATCAAAATCTGTAGCCAATGCAGGATTGATCTGAACTGCAATGACGAAGTGGAGCCAGGACAACATGTACTGTCACTTCTTTGTTTTTGACTAATTTTCTTCTCATGTCTCTGATGGATGAAGACAAAATAATCCTCTATTCTAAATATTAAATTAATTAGCAGTGCCACAACCACTGCATTCATATCCACTCAGACGATGAAGGAAATGGACTCCCTGAAGAATACGAGCATATGGTGAAGGAACAGATGTTGCTGGCATATCTTCCCCTGCATCCTGCTATGTTCTGTTTACAGAGGAAACCTAAAGACTATCTTACTTCACATCGTCATCTCTCGCCAACCTGTCCTTTTATTAAACACACTTTTATCCCCATTCGCAGGCCCCACTGTTAATGCTCATTCTTTCTCCAATGGTCACACTGCCTTTTCCCCTCCCCCATCTCCACACACTTTCTACCCAGTCAAACAACAAAAATGTATTTTTCCTCTAAGTAAAAGAGTGGGTGAAATTCCACTCCGATTGGTAACAATGTAAGATTATTTTTTCTGAAATTTGTCTTCTTACCCTCAGCATCTTTCTCCTTTGCCAAGCCTCCCACCCACTCTTTGCTATTTTTTGAATACTGCTGGTCACATACCAGGCTTAGATCAGAACCAAGAGATGCGTCCAACTAAATTTGGATCTTAACACATTTTTTCCATACTGACTGCCCAATCGTTTACAGGTTTACTTGCAGTTAAATCCCCAAAACAACTCGTCAGAAAGAAATTTTTCCCCATCTCCCAAATTAGCAAAAATATATAAACGTTCATGATTTTGCTCTGTGTGGAATTTTCTCACATCTCCTGTAAGAGCCAGCAGAAAATATTTTTAAATACCATAATTACATACATGCAGTTGTAAAAAACAGTTCTAATGGAACATCAAGTAAATAATACCAATTTTCAAAATTCTATAACAATATATTTATACAAATTACATAATTCTGTATGTATTTACACACCATTACAGATTATCAAGTAAATAACACCAATATTTTTCAGATTTTTCTCCAAGTGAATTTTAGTGCTCAAAAAAGGTGCCAGACTGACAGCACTAGAAAATGAAGACTTCTCTTTGTCCACAGCACAGGAACAGCAGTAGTGCAAGCTTCCCCACTTTGCCCCATCAATTATCTTCACACTTGATTTAGAAGGATCACGTGAGGAATGAAAGGGCATTTGAGTCTCCATGCCCATTCAGTCCCTGGCAAGGGTGCTAACTGGCACCCATGTAATAGTGGTTTTGTTATGTGAGCCTTGCTCCATTAGAAAACAAACATTTTACATAAGTGACTGAACAAACTTTTGTTCACTACTTGACATAAGCTGAATCTGAACCAGTGAACCCGAGATGAAAGGCTCTGTGGCCCACTGCCAACTCCCAGATAGTCCAGTTTCACAATAATGCCTACGTGAAATTCCATATTTCTATATTTACATAAATTCAGTATTTACACACCATTATGGGTTACTTGAGTAAATTGGTTACAGTTTATTGTATCGACTGCCATAAGCTCATAAAACATTTTTTCTTGGTTTTTAATCCTTTCTTTAAAAAAATACAAAAAATAAATTAAATAAAAATGTTAAGTGATATAAATGGTCTGACTATGACTAAAAATGCAAGGAAACTCAATGTTAAGACTCAGACTGTGGCCTCAACTCATGGCATTTTTAACCTTTGTCATGAATGTCCTTATGTTTGTGGATTTAGTGTACATTCAGTTATAATCCACCTTTTTGCAATTAAGTTAACCTCTAATGTTGAATGATGAACCTGGTATGTCCTGGAAACTCATTCCTCCGTTTTGACCAGATAGGTTTTTAATACCTTCTGCTCAAATGATTCAGTGTTCTGTCAACCTACATCCAGACTCTCTGTCTGTTTCAGCAACAGTGAAGAGGGTTAAAAATAAACAAATGAATGATCTTATAAGCTATTATAAAATGCTGTAAATTCTTAAACAAGAACATAGTCCCTACACAAATAAACAAACAGGCAATGCCTAACTATATCTTAAATCAACTAAGTTAATTTATATAGCTTTAGCATTCAAAAACAATTATTATAAAATGCCACATTTTTATTTGATTTAGTATACTAGTGGTGTGAGTCAAGACACAGTCTCTGCTAGCTATTATATCTGGGAGCACAGAAAAGTCACGTGTCCATGACATTAAGCCATATGCTATTCCATAATAGATTTAAGTTTCAAATTACATATTTTATACCACATAGACAGTTATGCATTAGAGCAAAAAAAGGATTAATAATCAAAATTGGGTAAGAAATGGTAAGTATAGCTACCCCAAAATATGTCCATGATCACAGTCAGTCTCCATATGCAGTTGGCTAGGAGCATTAAGGCCTGATCTATCTCCCAGTGAATTCAGTGGCAAAGTGAAGTAAGGTCAAAACGTAAGTAATACAAAAATTATAAATTCCATTTTGTTAAATATGCTAACAATTTTGCTCCTTTTTCCTCAGAGTATTGTGAAAAATAGTCTCTTTCCTAACAACAAGTTCCAAAATTATTACCAGTAACAATATGTGTTTATGTGCTTAACATAAAATGATACAAAATCCATATAAAGTATATTACATATTGTAATCTCATTTATAGTTTATGAATATTTGAAGGTAACTTCAGGGAAAAAAAAAAACAAGTATAATACTTTCCCCCTCATTGTCATTACTGATAGAGATTTATTAGTTTCATTTTGCAAGTTTTACTTTAAGAAGGGTGCTAATATCATGTATTATGACAGTTCACACTGAAAGCAATTTTCCATAAAAGATGTTACAATGACCCCTATGGAACTTGTATAATTTCATAGCAGATAGTCAAGTGCACAAATAAACATGTTTACAAGAGAGATCCTGTTAACCTGGTTCTTGCCCTCTTAAACCATTCTGTGTTATCTGTGATAATCTTAATTAGTACAACCATTTATATTAGTTAAGTTGTTTCTGGTGTTCTGTTTTAAAAAAGCATATTTATCATTTAGCTTTGGTATAATTTGCAATAGGTTTTAACAAGTAGAGTACATACCAACCCCTATATTTTCCACAACTGAGAAGTTTACAATGCTGGAATAAGTCACTTTATCAGAGAGGAAATATTACAGACACAGAATAAAAGTTGAAGACCCAGTTTTATCTTTAATCCTCTGGGGGTAAGCTATGAAACAAGCAGTCAGAAGAGTGAATACTCAGTGTCATGAGTGGTGTGCATACTTTTACAATAATATGGGCACAGAATAGATTGTCGCCTTTAGTACATTAGGGTCACTAGAATTGTTTTTATATCCATGCACCTTTTATATTTACTTGCATGAATTTACCACAGGTTCATAGTGGCCTTTGCCATTTTAATGCTTACAGAGCCTAAAGCTTCCAAAATGCCTATCTGGCCTGTACATATTTCATTAAAAATAAATTCTCTATAATAAATAAATATATAAAATAAATAAAATGTTGCCTTTGGAATTTCTATAAATAAATTTAACTTTTTTTTTTCACTAAGAGGTCTTTGCTTTAAACTCAAGGGGACGATACCCCATGAGCAGTTAACTGAAAAGTCTCTTGTTTAAGTAAGACTGCACCCTCCATGCCTTTGTAAATGCAGCGTACACTTGAGCAGGCCACCAGCCAAAAATCCTGATGAATCAAAGTATGGCAGCTATGCTGATATATGATGAAGTACAACTGATCAAAAATTTAAAAGCGTGTCTATTTCCCAGCATGCATCAGTCCTTTTTCCTCCTTGCTTTTGCTTCTTTCTTTCTTTCTCTTTCATTCTTTCTCACTCTCTCTCACACACACTCTCTTCTCTCTCTCATAATAAATCAAGTGAGTGGGCATAGGCTCTCCTCCAGGAGGAGAAACCTTTAAGTGCAGAACAAAATCAGCATGTTCCATCCAAGCCTCCATCATACATTATGCATGCGACAAAGTTTGGCAACAGTGGAGCTGATGTGATGGCACAGCTAATCAATAAGAACCCACCGCATGAAACCTTTATAGTGGTTACTTTTTAAGGGCTCAAGTGAAGGAATTGTCTTTGTCAACTTTGGCTTAAAATATCCTTATATAGTTCAGGTACTTTCTCAGGGTCCACCGGTCTAGGTAAAAAATGTGTAAATTTTTGATGCCGTTTAGTCCTAGTCCCTTCTCTTGGAGTCCCATCTTTATTTAACGCAACATAATATCGTCTTCCAGTGTCTACATGTTTATATAGATTTGATGAATATGTATTATACCAGTTTTCTTCAAACTGCTCTCTGAATACGCACTCCTGGGTTAATTTTTCCTGAGAAGACAAAAGAAAAAGCAGTAAGGAACCAGTACTAAAAATAACTGTCTATCCATTTAATGCATGTATTACCATATTTAAAGGAAACATTACAAGATTATCTTTACTTATCGATACCAGTGACTCATTGCAAGTATAGCGAAATGTGCTAGGTAAACATTCCTAATGTTAACTATAGAAAAGATTCAACAGAGTTCCGTTATTTCTATGTGTTGCCTAAAATAATCACAACATAGACAACTCTGTGCGAAAGCTAAAAAGCTCTTTCAATAACCTGTTTTAAAAAACAATAAAAATAGCAATGTTTTAATTACCACTCATTCGAAAGAGAAAAGCAGCTCACAGCCAGGTGATGTTAATGGACGTATCATCTTAAAAATCTGCATTTATTTATTTATTTTTCTGCAAAGGATTTGAATTGTGAGATACAGCAAAAGGAAAATAGAATTGTTCTGTGGGTTTCAAATATAATTTAATACCTTAAAATCCAAGTGAATTTGTTCCAAAGAGTAATTGAAATATTGAATTGAAAGAAATACTATTTTAATATCTGTTACTTGGCTTATTAAAACAGAATTTAGGGTCTGACCAATTTGCTAAGGGATAATTCTTCACACAGATATATAGGACACCTAGTTTTGTCTTTTGTTCCCTTTGCACCTGATCCTCCAGTCCTCAACCTAGGCATAACTCACAAGGGCAACAAAGCAAAGACTCCAGGATCTTGTCCTTCGATGGCTAAAGTAAGAAGAGCTGTAGAGCCAATAAACTCAAAATTGAGGGCCACGGCTCAACACACACCCCTCTGAACAGTGGGGAACAGAGTTGTCAAGCCCCTGACAGAGCCTCGTATCAGAACACAAGACCTACAGAGTGAGGGAAAGAACTTAAGGAGAAAGTGAAGAAGAGCCTCTGAGCCTCCAAGAAGAAAAAAGAATTTAGAGCCACTTTTGGCCCTAGAGTCATATGCACAGTTCTCGGTGAAATGAATAGGAGCTACATCTATCTATCAGCCAAATTCTGCTTTCAGCTGTAACTCCAGTGGAATCATTCAGATTATTCTGGATTTACACCATGTAACTGAGACTAGAATTAGGTCCCAGCAGACAGACGCTCAGCTGTTGTAAATCAGCATAGTTCCATTGACATCAACTCAAGCTCTGGCCTTAATTATTATAGAACTCCAATTACTATAATATTTTGCACAAATGATGATAATGCTTTGTATGTTATATGCATTTATTACCTTGAATCAGAAGATCTCCATGTGCTTTGCAGACATTAACAAATTAAACCTTAAAACACACCTGTGAAGTAGGTATTACACTTTTACAGATGAGGAAACAAACACAGAGTGACTTAAGTGAAATGACTTGCCCAAAGTCACAAAGGAAATCTGTGACAAAGACAGGAATAGAATCCTGACTCTCAGCCCTGGTCTTTAAGCACATGACCATCTTCTCCCATGTGTGTGCATCCTAGATCACAATTTGTAGGCAACTTTTTAAGATGTTTGTATTTATCTTTTTTGGCGCTTTTGATGGCAATTTAGTGAAATATATTATACATTGCAATACTGCTCAGGTTTTGGTTTTTGTTTAGAAAATGAAGAAAAATATTTGTTTTCAATAAATCCTCAAGCATCAGTGGGCCCAATCTTGCAACCTGCTACTTGTGTAAGATTTAATTACACAAGCTGCCCCATTGACTTTGAGAGCTGGGATTGCACCAATAACACGTTTTTACTGAATTTTTTAAAAAATTGAGAATTAAATGTGTTCTAGTAGCCTCCCATACCATATATAGAACATTAAACATACATCTTTGAGATCAAGATCTTTCTTATGCTAACCAAATAATCTTTAAATACTGCTCTTGACTTAACATTTCTTGTACTTTGGGTGATTTTTAAAATTACTGTGTGTTTTTTAATAGCAAAAGCAGATGCTGATTGGTGTTTAATGCTGTGCCTTTAGCTCCACAGGGGACATAAAACTAATTCAAATTAAGTTTTCTGCTCTCTGCAGGGAATCTGATCACATGACACGCACTGCAGAATCAGTCCTTGTTAAAAATACAGATCTTGATAAAATGGTATTCTGTCCTTTCTTGAATCCATTAATTATTTATTCACTTCATTTACATTTCGTACATACTGAGAAATGGTCTTTTAGTACTATCAGATGTATATTTTTATAAGTATTTTCCCATACCTAGGTACACAGTTTAAAATAGTCTATCCCTTCATCTAGAATGCTTAATCAATTATGACAACACTACAGTATACTTAATCATCAGACCTTGATTGAGTTTATTTATTATACTGCATTCGTTCCACATATTTTTCACCTTACAGTTTCAATTTCTATTTTATGAAGGGTTCCCAATTTTCCCATATTTTCTTTTTGGAACATAGATACGCCCTTTTTTGTACCATATCAAAATAATTCATTTAGGAAAAATTGGTATGAGATCAGATCCATATAGTACACACTATAATAATTATCTTCCCAGGATATGGGTAATAATTTATACATATCTAAACATTCATATTTTTATGTGAAATGTGTATTTAAAGTATCTGAACTGATACAGTATGGCAGTCTAGGACAGATGGAAATTTGGAGTTTACAGATCATTGCAGTAAATAGACTTCCATTGACTTTGATGGGCTTTGGACAAGGCGCTCTGTTAACTAGTGATGTAACACTAATCCATTACCAAATGCGGACTTCATCTGATTTTGCCCTCCCTATCCCCTCCTAACATTGCTGCCACAGCAATAGAGACCATATAAGTACTTAGATAGATAGAAATTGCTATAAATCAATGTTGCAAAAAGCTGTAGCAGTTTACAACCACATTATGAGTGCCCGTGCATCGTATTCAAGACAGAAGCACGCATAATTTAGGTGGAGGAGAATACATAAGAGCAGAGAATGATGCATGCATGGAATAGTTTTGAGCAATAACATACGTGAACCCATCTGGAATACCCTTTTGTCCTTCCAGCTCAGTGTGTGGACCATTCACAGAAAGTCAACCCTGAGGTTTTGGGAGGGAACGTTATTGGTAAGCGTTTCCCGCTTTGGCTGTGATTTTCTGAAAGTACATTGTGCATAGCATGAAAGCAAAAGTTGGCCTTAGAATACTCCATTGTTTCTCTGTGCTGTGATCTGTAGCTTATTTTTTTTGTAATTACTTATCTGCGCATACTTTACAGTACAATGTATTTAACGTTACTAGATGAATTCTGCTCGAGACCGACACATACACCAAACGTATCTAAGTGGGATAGCAGTGGAAACTCTAACCTTTACTCCTGCGAGAGAAAAGGCTGTTTGCCTTCACCAAACTGTTCAATTTGGGGGCCAAATCTTGAGGTGCTGATCAAGTAAGGCTCCGCTCAAGATTTGACCTCGGAACTATACAAATCAGATGTTGCACAACACACCACGTTTCCAACTAAGACAGTTTATAGAGTATTCCACTATAAAGTGATCAATTCTCATTTTACTGTATTTCCATGTTTTACCTCTTTTAGCTTATTTAACTGTAGGTGTTAATATAATATGTATCTTTGAACTATTCAATTATATCACAGGACCCAAGTGGTGAATATGGATTTAATTCAGAAGTCTGCTAACCTGGTGCTTTGGAAGAAAATCTGGTGAACATTAGCTACTATGGAAACCCCTTTCTCTTTTTATATATTATCCACTATTTCACAGTGGAGAAAACAGTAATTACAACATCAAAACTTTCAGCCAGACCCATTAAAAGTAAGACTATGAATTAATAAAGTGCAAGACTATCGGACACCACAATGAATGCCTGACTAGATTATTTTTAAAATATATTCTTATGGAGCAGCTAATTTAAAATGTAGAATAATAAAATAAGAAAATGTTTAATTCATCTGGGTATTATTCTGAAAATGATTTCAGTCTGAGGCTAAATTACTTTTATTGGACAAATATTTCGTATTATATATTTGTGTTGCTTAGTAAATGAAAACAAAGTATAGTATCCTGTGCAAAAATATTCAGTATCTTTTTTGCCCTTCTAAAGCCTGTTAATTAGGGCTACATTTAAAACTGTATAATGGATTTTGAAATCTGACCATTTACCCCATCCTTACTAAAATGACAATAAACATGCCATCTATCGTGCTTGTTATACATTCTTATTTCTGTGCAACACATCATTTTGTCCTGCTTCACATGGACTACTACATTGATTTGAATCAGAGAAGACACTTTACATGTAAATGCTTAATCCAAAAGTCCCAGCACATTATAAAAATAGGTAAATTTGATTTGATCAAAGCTCTTTGTATATCTACTCTACATCACCCTCTCTTAAGAAGAGTTATATTTTCACATATATTCTCCCCTAAATATGTGCTTGCAACTCCCATTAATCTGATATCAAAATAATGAAAGTTGTGTGTTCAATGAGAGGAAAACATAACTATACAAAATGTAATGAACAGACCCTTTTAATTTTTAAGCACTTTTCTACTTGCAAATTAGAGCATTATATATAAAATTGGTCTTATACTTAGTCTGAATAGGCTATTAAACAAACATATTATATTATTTACTCTAACTGAAGAGCTATCATAAATATTACAGCAGCCACATACAGGGCTACTTTCTTGTCTGATCTCATGTATTTAGCAAGATTGGTCTCTGGTTGGATGGAAGACCTCCAGGGAAACCACAGCTACTGTTGGAAGAGGTACTGGTGACTGAGGAGTGTCACTTTTCTTTTTGAGCTGGTGAACAGAGCTGGATAAGCACTTTAGTTGAATATATTATTTCCTGCACATTACCATTTTTCTCTGACAACTATGTTCAACTATAGTTTTGGCAATATTCAGCCAGAATGCTATCATACCTAATGCTATTTATTAAATCATTTGACAAATGAAGACAAAAACGTTATTTTTTTTTAAAGTTTTAATGCTGCTGAAAGAATGCCCAGGATTATAC